CCTCCCTCCTTCACCCCCTCCACCCCCTCCACCTCCACCTGAACACTGGTATGGATCACACGCGCTCCTCTCCTTTATCTCCCCCTCTCGGGGGCTTTTGCTTGCTCGTGGCAGATACGCTTCACGTTGTGCACACAGTGGAGGTTTCAGTCCGAGGCCTCGGCGAATTCCACAGCGGACCGACCGTCAACTTGTCCCTTGTGTCTGGTCTGACCCACTCTGTCACTCCCATTTTTAAAAATTCCGCCGAGTGTTTGCTCACCCGCGGGTGGAGGGAGGTTTACTGAGGATTAATCATCCCTCCGCCCGCGCTGCCTCCCAGCCGGTCGGGGCTGGGACGGCGGTGGAAGCGTGACCTGGAGTGGTGTGAGGAGGTTAGTTGCTGATTAATCTCCAGGCAACCTTGAACCCCTCACTGGGCCAGTGGACCCAGCAGACTATTGACACGAGCTGAAGATAAAGCTAACATTTCTGTGCTACGTGCGCCGTGACTGGACCTTTTTTTTTTTTTTTTTTTTTTTTGTGTCACACAAATGTTTGCTGATCTCAGCAAGTATCATTTCAGCATAAATGTGCTGGACACGTCTCAGGATCTGATCTGACTTGTGTGTCCAGTCACTGACAGCTGCTGAGTTACACAGTAACAGGGTGGAGAGCCCAGCTCTTCATCGCTCTGTGGACGTTTGTGGAAAATGGAGGGAAAAAAAAAACACAAAAAACACACAAACTCACATAGTTTGATATTAAAGATCTGACCTGCTGCAGCTGGTGTTGATTCTGTGTAAAGTAAACACAGTCAATTATGACCAACGGTGACGTTTGACATAATTGAACCCTGACAGCATTTGGACTTTTTCTGGATCGTTCTCACTTTATATTTAAAACATATTATTTCAAAGAAGAACGACTACAACCTTTAGTTGTCATGAAATTAAAAAAATGGACTAAATCGACCCAAACAGTCAGGCTAATGATGGTCTCCTTCGTGTTGGTATCTGAAGTACACGTCGGTTCACAGTACACCAGGAATGTGAATATTTAAAGGCGGCACTGCGCCTGTCTGTGTCAGCCTCCAAATGTTGACAAAAAAGAAGGAAATGAGCGAAGAAATGGTTAAGACAAAGTATAAATCTGTTTAATTCAATAAAATATCAAGTACAATTATAGAATTTCACCTTTTAATATTAAATAATTAGACTTATTTCATCCATTGCCAATACTATTACAAAGAGTTGCATCATTTCACTGCAGCACAACTCTTCCCTTGACAACCACTCCTGTGAATACACAAAAAGTACAAATTCATTCGCATGTATGTAAAACCTACACAGAAATACTGCATACTGCAAAAAAAAAAAAAAAAACGACATCTGAGAATAAAGCTACGGTGACATGTGAAGAACCCACGATGATTGCGCAATCCATGCACCCACTTCTGGAGTCCTACTCGAAGTGTCCTTGTAAACCGGTGTCGGCCGCGGTCTTCATGTGTGAAGCGTACCGTTTTTTTTTTGTTTGTTTTCGTTTTTTTTAAAACAATCAGATCCGGATTCAAAGTCTGGAGAATCAGTGATAAGACGGGGCAAGAATAGGGGCAAGAACAGGGGAGGGGGGCGGCGTTGGCGCCGAGCTGGAGCCGCGTCCTAACACTGTCCGGTGGCTGAGAGCAGGTTGCGCAGGGTGGTCAGCTCCCTGGACAGCTGCTCCACCCGCTTCTGTAAACGGTCGTTCTCCGCGGCCAGTTCCAGGACTTTGTGCTGCGTCTCCATGTTGCGCATTTTGGCTTTGTCCCTGCTCTTCCTCACCGCCAGGTTGTTCCTCTCCCGCCTCATCCGGTACTCCTCACTGTCCTTGTCCAGGCGCTTCTTGGCTTTGCCGCTGGACATCTTGCCCCCGTGGGTCGGCGACCTGCTCTTACCTGACGGGGCAGGTGTTCCGGGCGGGCTGGAGCAGGTCGACGAGGCGGTGGAGATGTTCCCCAGACTGCCGCTGGTGGACTGGTAATGAAGGTAGGACCTCATGTCGAAGCCCGACGAGCCGTTCTCCCTCTTTGCGTCTTCCGGGCCGTCGGCTCTGTCCGTGGCTG